ATTATTATTTTTTTTTAATTTGGTAAGCAATTTCGATGTGACCCTGAGGCAAACGTTGTTCGGATTATTTTTCTGCATAACATAGTTTTTTTTTTTCAGATCTTTTAGATTTTTTTATTACTATTTTTTTTTTTGGCTGGGATCTTCCCTGGTCCTTGCACGGGCCGCCTGGGAAAAAGGCTGACCCGGGCGACCCGGCTGGTAGCCTACACTGTAGGTTTCTACTCAATTTTTTTCCCCGCCGCCGATAGCTGGGCAAGTGCTGGTGGTTTAAACCACCAGTCCATCCAGCTATCGGCCGCGGGCCCTTTTCGGAGGCCGCCCGCCGCCAATTCAATTTATCTACGGTGCTGGGCCTCCAAAATTTTTGTAGGCGACGAGGTTTCTTTTCAGCAAGGCTGGGGCTGTGTACTGGCGGTTTAACAACTTAAATTATTTAAATTATTTTTAACTGCACATTTCATCACCTGCCTCGTACCGCAAGTTGAAGCCAACAGACTGCTGAGCCTGGAAGGGACGCCGGCGGACGTCTCCGACAGACATCTGCGATGACCCATAGACCAGATGATGCACCACCGACATCAGGAACCAAGCAGCCCCCCGTCTTCACCCGAATAGAACGCCCGGTAATTATTGCCGTATCTGGACTGGAAGTTGCACCAAATACAGCTATAATGACCGGGCGTTCTATTTGCTACAGGCACTCTGACCTTCCCTGTCAGCAACTGTTAGCACTACTTACAGGTGCTCGCTTAGACACACAGGAAGTACTTGGGGGAAAAGATGGGAAGAAAGACGTACATAAAAGAAAAAGAGGAAATACATACACGAAAATATCTGTGTGTGTGTGTGTGTGTGTGCGTGTGTGCATTTGTATGTGAGTGTCGAAAGAAAGATGTACATAAAAGAAAAAGAGGAAATACATACACGAAAATGACTTTGTGTGTGTGTGTGTGTGTGTGCGTTTGTATGTGAGTGTCTGTCACAGGCTGTCTGCATTGACGCACAGCATGGCATGGTAGTATGCATCACCAAGCTCCGTAGCGAATAGTTGTAGATGGGCGGTTGGAAGAAGGGTGGGATTCTGGGCTACCAGGCATCACCCTGTTTTGCCGGGCGGCCCGGCCGTGCAAGGACCAGGGACGATCTGAGCTATATGGAAAAAAAAAAAAAAAAAAAAAAAAAAAACGAAAAGAAATCTATGTTATGCAGAATAATAATATATGAAGAAAAAATCCGAAAAAAAATCTATGTTATGCAGAATAATAAACTGAACACCTTTTGCCTCAGGGTCATATCGAAATTCTTTTACTAAATTAAAAATTAAAAATTAACCGCGGGTGGTGCGGGCAATGCCCACAAAAAAAAAAAAAAAAAAAAAAAAAAAGTTAGGCCCAAACCAGCTGCTAAATTTCAGCATTGTTAAGGAATTCGAGAAACGAAACACACATAGAGAGACAGAGAAAGGGAGAGAGAAAGAGAGAGAGAGAGAGAGGGAGAGAGGAGAGAGAGAGATAGAGAGAGATAGAGAGACACATCTAGAGAGAGACAGAGGAGAAAAAAAAGAAGAATGCGATTGGAGTGGCTTGGTTGGAAGGTGCCTGAAGTGGCTCGATTGGTAGGTGTTTGGATTGGCTTGGTCGGTAGGTGCCTGAAGTGGGTCGGTGGGCAGTTGCTTGGAGTGACTCAGTGTGTAGGTGCTTGGAGTGGCTCGGGGTGTAGGTGCTTGGAGTGGCCCAGTCGGTAGGTGTTTGGAATGATTCGGTCGGTAGGTGCTTGGAGTGGCTC